AGATGAAGAAGTCAACAGGCTGTGTTCACTAGACCCACATGGAGGTCAGTGTGCTGGGAGCTCAGTCATTCTCACTGGCCAGGAAAGCCAACTGTGGAGCTATATATCCATGCTTTTGCTCGTATTTCCTGAATCATTCTTAAAGTGTAACATATGTAACTTAATTGGATATGTTCTTTGACTATTAGTCAACTCTCAGTAGTCATGTCTTTTACATGTCATTAGGTGTGTCATTTGAACATCACCATCTCCTTTATGGAAAATCTTGCATCAGCACTTCCTAGACTTACTATACAATGTCTATGAGTGAAGCTTTCAAGCACTAATTAAACCTCATTTCAATAAATTCAATTACTGCAAATGAATCTGTTATCGCACTACACTTCTCCTGGCTGAGAGCTCACTCTGTGTTGAAAACTCAGCATCAGTTTCTAGTTGGAAATAATTCCATATAGTTATTACAACAGAAGCAATTTGAAAATAATAGAAAATGGCCTAAGGAAGCTCAGATTGAATAAAAAAGATTCAGATAGTATTATGTATTTTTCATTACAAATTGTTAATGTATTTCCATACAAAATATTTTGCATGACAAATATATGCTTAAAACTCTAAATCAAGAGAAAATAACCCCAGATCTCAAATTTTAATATAATAAGAAAAATAAAGATAATAATTAACAAAATTTATTATTGTAAGAATTAACTTTTATTGCTCCAAATGGTTTACAGATGTAGCAAAGTAATAATAAAGTGGCACTTATTTATTAATTTATTTAGCACCAGGAGTTGCCAAATGAAAGCTATACTTAGATTATTAGGTTGAAATAGAGATAAAGCCACCAATGTAAACAGAAGACAAGCTAGCATCCACTGCTTCTTGGAAAGAATGCAACAAAATGTTCTTTAGTCATATTCTGTTACCACCCCCTACCCCATTACTTTGCAAAGGTTACACCCCTTTTGATTCCCTATAAACAGAGCCCAGGAAGGTAGTGGAACAATTTGCCTTAGACGTGTAAGGGGACTTCTGGGAGGTAAAGAGATCACCTTCACATCTACAGTCAGGGAAACTTGTTGAGATGAATCTGAGTTAGGCTTTAGCCTTATCAAGTCCTAGGTGTCCGTGACATGCAGGTCTCCTGGCAGGAAGGTTTACTGAAGCACTACTTTTACTTTTCATTTTATTCTTCTTTCCCTTAAGTTATTGCAAAGTATTTCGTGTTTATCTCTAGAATTTTGACTAAATTAAAAGTTCTTGGAAGACAACCTCATGATTGCTGCGATTTCATCACGTATCACAAAGTGGTCTCTTACCACTTTGGTCTCTGCCCTTTTACTGAAAACAGCAGGAAATCTCTTTTTCACTGCCAATAGACCAACTCTTTTTTTCTCAATATGCAAATTTGTTATATCACGTCTTATTTAAAAACTCTTTAGTGGTCAACTCTTGCCTATAGGATAAATCCCAAACCCTTCAGCAAGTTTCTTCTTAAGAAGTTTCTTACCTTCCTTCAGCACCCACCGCTTCCCCCGTGACACTCTGCTTTCTTCCATGAAAACACTAGCAATTTCTTACACGTGCCACACTCTTTCATTTCTTCATGTGTATTTATGTGTTAAATCCTCTGCTTAGAGTGACTTCCTTTCTACCAGGTATATATCTCCTCCTCATTCTTCATGATTAAGTTCAAACTTTCATGACTCCCAAGATGAATTAGTTGTTGCTGTTTTAAGTTCCCGTAACTCAGGTACATGTCTCTATTACAGGATGTCATGTTACACTATAAATGTTTGTTTTCATGGAATGTCTGCCACTTGGCTTAAGAATCACAGAGGCACAGCTTGTTTTCTTTTATTCATTGATGACTTGCCAATGGCTGGAATATCACAGTCCCTTACTGAATGCTATTACTATTCCAAATATTTCAATGCGAGCACCTCTTGAATCACTCACAGCTTTTAGTCAGTCTTAGATTTTCCATAGAATCTTGCCTCTGTGAGCAACAAAATAAGAGCAAAATAGAAGAGTTTAACTCTAAGGGAGCAAAATAAGAGAGTTTAACTCACCCAGGAAGGGAGAGGGCTTCTACGCATTCTCTGAACCCACACTATGATGTGTTTGAAGTAAGACTCTTGACTCAGACTTTTAAAGCAAATCCATTTATTAGATGCTATCTTTTTGACTAATAATGTCTTCTGCTGGGTTCTTGCTGTTGTACATTCCAGAGAATTAAAAAGGGTTAACAGCCAATCCATCATTTGGTATTTAGGGTCTGGTCAACTTAATGAATCATTACTTTGTATTTTCTTCTTACCGTATTTCCACCCAGCCCTTTCAAAAAAGACAACCTGGTACGCACTTCTTTATCTGTAAGGTTTCAGACAAGTCTAAAAAAAAATTGTCTTTACTCACTTGATTAACACTATGAACTTTATACTTTTAATCTACTGCTTCTTTACATCCAGATGATAAACACTTTCAGATTGGTGGTTATTTGTATTATTCTTTATGAAGAGCAACGCCAGAATCTGCCTCTCTTTATGTTTGTCCATTACTGCTTCCTTCAAGTTTCTTTGCAGCTTGCCGTAATTCTCTCTTCAAAATGTTAATTTGAAATGGTCATTTAGTATTTGAAGAGCACAGTCAAGCATGTGCTTGCATAAAGAATATCTTTATTAATTAAAATGCAGAATATAAATCATACCAGTACATCTGGAGCTCAAATGCTTTCTATGACTTTATTAACCCATTACAATTTGGAAGTCCAAATCTAATATAAATAGCCAAAATATTAATATAAGAAATTAAAAAACACCAATTAATTAATACAAATGTTTAAATTTGTTGAGTAGGAGGGGAATTTTGCAGAACACTTCTTTTACAAGGTGAATTAAATTTACATTTATACACACACATATATGATCTAGTCTATCTGATTTGGTGAAGGAAATCATAATTATTATATATTTGAATAACATCTCTCTGGTAAACAAATACATGTCACTTTTGATCTCACTAAGTTGACTTGCCCATAGGAGAATTCTCGAGATTCCCAATCAGCACCCAAAATTTGAAGTACCTGGTCTCGTAACAGTCTATCTAGGGCTCATGTTTAGAATTATGGTTTATTTTCTCTTTCTAAGGAATTATAATACTTAGTACTATTTATACTAGCTTCTGATTGTAACTAAGTTGCATCTGACTGAAAGTGTGATTGTTTATTTTTTGAGATCCTCCCACAGATCTCCAGAGTGAATTTTGCACATTAGACAATATCCAGATTAAGAGTTAGACTGATATAGAGATAGATTTCCCTAATATACCGTCTCAATTTCATAAAAGTCATGTTAAGTGTCTAAATGCGAAACAGTAAGAAAGACAGAAAGATGTACGTATACACAAACACATACATACACAAGATTTTTAGGACAAACCCAATGAAAAGGACCATTATTTGCATAGAGGTTGCAAAGCAGTTGCTTCTGATTCTCAGTGCATTGCATGGGGAAATCTCCTTCTATTGTGGGAAAAGATTTCACTATCTACTACAAGGAAGGATATCATTAATAAAGCTATGGGTGTGTAGAAAGTGGAGAGAATGACGGTGTGGGCTGTCTGCCGGGCAACTGGGTGTACCATTTTCAGCATATGGGAAATCTACCACCTTCTAGCCATATACATTCCAATGTTCATTTCTTCATCCTGTAAAGCAGAGATTTACTTTATCCAAACCATAAAAGTGCAATTTTGTTATGAGACCTCCTTACAATTACTACAAACAAGAGTTCCAAACAAAATCTTAATCAATGTTCCTAATTTTAAAATCATTGCTCTAGTCAAGGGTGTATTTGGAGAGCCTCTTACTGGAATTTTTTTAAATAAAACTTATTTCATGAAATGAAAAAAAAGTTTAGCAATTGTCAAAATAAAATATAAATAAGACATAAGTCCAAGTCTGAGTGTTTTGTGAATATATTGCAATAATGTTATTAATAAATAGTATGTGCTTTTATTTCCAGTGAATATTTATATACTTAATGTAAGAAAACACTTTATATCCAGTTATCTTTGTCCATATTGCAAAATGATTATAGAGTATATATGTAATATATATTTTTAAAAAGTAAATAAGTAGTATTTACTCATGAAAAATGAAAAGAAGAAAAAGAATAAATGATACTGCCAATCTTAGTGAAAATATATTTATTCCAGAGTCAATTTCAGAACACAACTTCTCTTCTGTTCTATATTCTTCCCACCTTTCCTGCTTCACTCTCTGTAAAGCATGGTTCCTTAGGTAGTATTCATAATTTTGAACCCAAAGAAAATACCAAACTTCTGGAAAGAATCCAAACCATTTTGCAACCTTTGACTGTCACCACTTTGCATAACATTCAGTGTTTCTACTTAGGCAGAAGCTAGAGGGTTTAAAGGATGTTTGCCAAGAACCTCCCATGAGTCATGTAACAAATGGCAACTTGTCCTTCCCTTTCAGAACCTGTTCTTGACAAGAGCTCTACCCAGAACCTCGGCAGGCAGACACTTCATGCAGCCAATAGTAAGCAATGCGCATCTGTCCCTTAAGGACCCTCTCTGTGTACTGCGGTGGGGCTGTGCCAGGGTAGCAAGCTCACCGTGCTCTCTTCTGAATTACCTTTACATAATAAGGGGTCTGTAACTTGTTTGATTTGGCATTAAAGTTGTCACCAGTTATAAACATTTCCTGAACATTTTTGCCAGTGAAGGCAGATGTAGCCTTTCAGGTGGAGTGTGGTTGGGAGTGAATGCACTGTGCCGGGAAAGGTTTGCAGTAAATGCAACCTCTTTGCATAAAATAGGTTATACTTGTGCTGTAGTTATCAGGAAACTACAATTGCTCACTCTGACTTTTAAACATTAGTATTTTAAGATTTGCTTTAAGTGTAAAACTTCACTTCGTTTTCCTTCAAGGCAGTTACAGAGAAGGGCAAAGGTGCTGAAGCTTCACAGCCAGGGTTTCAACCCTGTTTCTACCACTTTTACCAGATGAGAAGTGGTAGAAAGTGACCTTGGATGAGTCACTTAAATTCCTTGTACTTCTCTTTGTCTCTCTATAAATGGAAACAATAACAATATCTTAAAAGCTTGTTTCGGGGATTAAACAAAGTAATATATTGAAAGTGACTAGCACAGTAACTGACACATATTAAACATTGGATAAGTCCCTACAGAAACTAAATATTACATATGAACATGTGTGTGCACACACACACAGACACACAAAAGTTCTACTCATAAAGAGCATTACTGTGAACAATGGATGATTTATGTCAGTCAGGCCCTTGTACTGGCCCCTCTCCAAAGTGATTTCCCTTGGATTAGTACTGCAGAAAGAAGCAGAAAAACGAGATATTGCATGTCGTGCATGATGATGACATAGGAAAAAGAGAGAAAAGGAATTTTTTAAAAAATGAGTAAGAACACCTTTATCAGCTGCAAGTAACAGAATACCTAACTAACAGAGACTTTAAAAAATCAAGCATTTATTACCTCATTTGGCACAAATTCTGATAACAGTAATATTTGCCATATTGCCCACAGTTTGGCTCCTGAAATACCAAAGATTATTCCTTCCCAGCAATATCTCACCAGGAGGAAAGGAGTCAGCAGAAAAAGAATGTCCTTCTCCTGCATCTCTCTTTCCTGTCCTCTCCGCACCCCTTCCCACCCCCTCTCTTTTAACAAAGGAGCAAAATCACTGAAGATGCTATTGATATTGGAGGACAGGGTCTGTGAACATCAGGTAACTGGCCTCAACCCAACCCATTCTCCAGCATGTTCTTGACTCTGCCACATGAAAGAATTCAAGGACAGAATCACAGTACAAAGTGAGAACAGGTTTCATGTAATGGTTAAGAAGTGTAGGCTTCACAGAGAAAGTGCAGCCCAGCTCCAGAGACTGAGCAGGGTCTGCACCAAGTTTAATATAAAAGTAAGAAATGCACACTTAATGTTTAATACAAAGTGTAGGCTGGCTCAAGAGAGTGAGCCACAGTCCCTTAGAAATAAGCTGAATACAGAAGTGAAGTTCACACACCTCTTCTGGAGTGGTGCGGGTGGACTCCAAGAAAGCCAGCCACCAACTGCAGTAAGTTTAATACAAAAGTAAGAAATACACATTCACAGACAAAGAGCAGGCTGACCCCAGAGTGAACGGCAGCCTGCTAAAGGCAAGTTTGATACAGAAAGAAAGAAATACACACCCCAGGGGAAGTGTGGGCTGACTGTTGAGAGAGTGAGCAGCTGACCCGACTTCTACTGGTATTCAGCTCTTATAGTTTTGGTACCTGATACATGTATCATATACATACTCATGCTATTTAATGAATATTTAACTTAGGGGGTGGTTCTCAGTTATGTGACATAGGCTCGCACATGCTCAATTGGTCTCTTTTTAGAGCCCACTCATTGGTCAAATTCCAACATACCTGCTGGAAAACACCTAGACTATTCAGTGCTCGCCAGGACCTCTAGTGAAAAGTTATTCAAAGGATAAACTCCCCTCTACTGAGCATGCTCAGTAGTTGGGGTTATATAACTTCTTTTTGCTGAACATGCCCAGCTGTTGGAGTGATACAAATCTACTTCTTGGAGTCTCAATTTACCGGTGTTGGTGCGGAAAATGGGTGCAATTAGCAACAGTAACACTCCTCCAGGGGAGCGCCCAGAGGAAGGGCCTGAGACCTTGGGGAGTGGCTTGAAACTCAGAGCAGTGTCCTGAAGCTCAGACCCATGGAAACTGAGCACCTTCTCTCTTACTATACCAGGAAGCACTCCTGTAGAGCTCCTTAGCCAGGCCTGGTTTACATCTGTCCTTGCTAGACCAAAGTGGAGGATTTTGCAGTGTGCCCTCTAGGTGCCCCTGTTCATGGCAGAGAGGTACTCATAGCCCTATTTGCTGGGAATGTTGGTGGCTGTTGGCTTGCAGATGGACTTCCCTCAGCATCAGAGAGACATTTCACCCAAGGTCCCCCCTTCACCCTAGATGCAGCTCAGTGTTCAGTAATGGGTGCTGTGATGGTAGAAAGGCCTGGCTCCCTTGCCTTGAACTAGGATAACTCTGAAAGACCATCTCAGCACCACAGCTCCCCAAGGGGTATACTGAGACCTTCATTGGGACTGCACTGCAGTACAACTCCTCTCTCTGTGCATCCTGCTTCCTTCACTCCCTGCAGGTGCTGATCATTAGAGTTGTCTCCAGTAAACCCCCTGCACACAAATCTCCACGTCAGAGTCTGCATTCCATGGAACGTGACCTGTGGATACCAATCACTGCCAGAGGGGACTGGGATAATGTGACTGGTTTAAGATAATCATGATTCGTCTAAGAGCACCTGAGGCCTGAGCAAAACACATGTTCTCTAAATTTGAAAAAGAGGGAGAAAATTTCTTGGATGAGCAACTGCAAATGGAGGTGCATTTTTAAATATTGTTTTTATTTTGACTATTGCATTGTATTAGAGGATGGCAACAAGAGAACAGAAAGTTGTGAGCAAGATAAATATGCTGAAATGTTACTCAAGTGTTTTCAATTGTTGTCCTGGACCCAGCACTACCAGCATTACATCAGAACCTGTTAGAAATACAAATTCTTGGGGCCGGCCCGGTGGCGCACTGCTACAGTGCGCTGCTTGGGAAGTACGGCGGCACTCCTGCCGAGGGTTCGGATCCCACATACAGACCAGCCCGCTCACTGGCTGAGCGAGGTGCAGGCGCAACACCGAGGGTTGCGATCCCGTTGCCGGTCCCGGTCCGGTACGGGTGCGACACTGAGGGTTGCGATCCGTTGCCGGTCACGAAAAAAGACAAAAAGGAAAAAAAAAAAAAAGAAATACAAATTCTTATGCTCCACCCAGATCTATTGAGTCAGAATCCTGGGAGTGAGCCTCACCAATTTCCCATCTGGGTGATTCTGATGCACACTAAAGTTTAAGAAATGCTGCCTGAGAGGTTATGATTAAATTGGTCTAGGTGAGATACCCACACCCACATTTAAAACAAAACAAAACAAAACAAAAAATCTGCCCAGGCTTCTGGGAAGGTCAAGGAAACTCCACCCAAGAAAAATGTGACTCTTCTAGTACACTCAGGCATAAAGGTCCAAAAAGAATGGATGCAATTTACTTTGGTATATGATGTTGTAGAGGATTCTTAAAGCAAATGTACTTCACAGGGCCTGGTTTTCCAAAGCCTTGCATGTTCAAATGTTGACCTTGTGGAGGACTGGAAATTTTTCTCAGGCTATAAAGTCTCTGGTGTAAGATTTGTGGCACAGCAAGGTTGCTGGCTGAAGGACAGACTATTTACTGATTGTTATGTAAAGATACTGAGAAATTGCTGTAAGATCACTTAATCGTGTAATGGAATGTCATCTGACTTGTTCCACTGAAAGTTACCAGCCTATATTGTTAAACTATAACCCCTCCTATGTTCTCTTCCTGTAACTTCCTGGTCTGGAAAATAAATGCAGGAAGAGAACCACAATTAGGGGTTAATTTCCTGAGGAAGGGATGCCTCTCACTTAAGGGTTCTGGTGGGAGATTAACCACTTCAGGGTCTCTCACTGCTCAGAAGAGATGGGCTTTGAGTAATCCTTTGCATCTATGTCACCCAGGGGAAATGACCCCATGATGTTCCTTATGGGACAAATAAAATGGGTAACATTTCTTTCTTCCTAAATTAGTAAATGATCAATTTGCAGTCATTGTTTTACTTAATCAGCAGCATTTGATGTTGGTGATCACTCCTTTTTCCTTGATCTGGTTTTTCACTTGGCTTCCAGGAGACCACACTGTTTTGGTTTTCATCTTATTTCACTGATTTCTCCTTCATAGTCCTTTAGCTGATTCCTTCTCCACCTTCCCTCCCCAACCCCTTAATGTTACAGAGTCTTACAGTGAAGTCCTCATTTCTCTTCTTTATCCAGACTTATTGCCTGAATGATTTCTTCCCATCTAATGGTCTATGTGCTAACAACTTCCAAATTTATATTTTTAACTTAGAGCTCTCTCTCAAACTCCTATATTGATTGTTCAACTTCTAATTTGGCATTGCTACTCAAGTATATAAAATCAAAAGCTCAAAGATGAATTCCTAAACTTCTACCCCGAACTTACTACAACAATGGCTAGCTCAGGCAATGGCAATTCTATCCTTCCCATAGCTCGGGCCAAAAGGATGGAAATAATCTCTGG